GTACAGTCTGTACTCACCCCTGAAGATGTGAATTACACGAAAGTGCTTGGGAACTTCGTGTTTTCTTCTTTCCTTGTGGTTATCAGCATATAACTAGATCATGCGCACCTACAGTGATTTACTTGCATATATATATATATATCTTGATAAAATCCCACGGGAAGATGGAAACAACGGAGTACCTTAGGTACTCCGTTGTTTCCATCTTCCCGTGGGATTTTATCAAGATTTATCTTATCCACGTTGTCATTGTGGATTTACATGAAATATATATATATATTTCATGTAGATCCACAATGAAAACGTGGACAAGATAAATCTTGATAAAATCACACGGGAAAAGGGAAACAACGGAGCACCTTAGCTTTCGTTTTGAATAAAGACGAAAGCTAAGGTGCTCCGTTGTTTCCCTTTTCCCGTGTGATTTTATCAATATATATATATATATATATATATATATATATATATATATATATATATATATATATATATATATATATATATAGTATGAAATATTGCACTATAGATTCCATCAAGAAGTGGAAAATGGAGTGATGCCACGAGTGTATATCATGGAAAATGCACTGTTAAAAAGGATAAGTATTATCAAATACCCTGTATATAATTTTAAAATGACTAATAAAATAACATAAAAAACTAACAGTAAAGGACTCGCCAAAAGTCGATGTATAACGGCGTGTATATACTTTTGACAAAGGATCTGCAGTGAAAGTCATATGAAAGGTACTGAACTCAAGGCTGATCCAGTGGGGTGCCCATTTTCATCAGAAAACTCCAATACTTTTCCTTATTGCAGTATTGTACACAGGCATTTTTGCATAGTCAAAATTAAGTACTATTGCCCTCAGAATATCTCAAATATCAAGTGCACATGGCTTCAAAATGGCTTCAAAATGCCCATGATATTGGTCAGATTTAAAAAAAAATTCAGGGGGGGGGCTTACAGCTAACACCCCCCCCCCCAGATGGATGGGCTCGCTTTGCTTGCCAAGTACCCACACCCAAACTTCTTGGACCCTCCCCCTTTTGATATTTCTGGATCTGCTCCTGGAGCTCAAACATTGAACAGGACTTGTCTAACAAATCTGCTGACGTTTTTAAGGAAAGTCTTCGAGGTAGTAGATAATGACGAAAATTACGATGTTATTTACTTAGACTTTAGCAAAGCATCTGACAGAGTACCGCATCAGAGGCTTCTGAGAAAAGTAAAGGCTCATGGTATCGAGGGGAAAGTTTTAAATTTGATAAAATCATGGCTCACCGATAGAACGCAGAGGGTCAGCGTAGATGGTGTTAAATCTGAGTGGGGCTGTGTAACCAGTGGGGTTCCCCAGGGGTCAGTACTAGGCACACTCTTGTTCATAATCTACATAAACGATCTAGATACTGGGATCAGCAGTGATATAAGCAAGCTTGCGGATGACACCAAAATAGGGCGGCAGATTAATTCAGGGCAGGATGCAAATGCACTACAGGAGGATTTCAATAAACTGCAGGAGTGGTCAGAAAAATGGCAAATGAAATTCAACACCAGCAAGTGCAGCGTACTTAATATTGGAAGAACAAATACTGTCAATGAATATAGCCTTAACAACATCAACCTAGAGAAGTCGACTTGTGAAAGAGACTTAGGGGTACTTGTAAGCCCGGACCTATGGCCTAGAAAACAGTGCGTTAAAGGCAAACAGAGTATTAGGCTTTATATCTAGAAGTGTAAGTATTAAGAGTGCAGAGGTCTTATTGCAACTATATCTTGTGCTAGTCAGGCCGCACCTCGATTATGCGGTTCAGTTCTGGTGCCCTTATTATAGAATGGATATCAATTCACTGGAGTCGGTGCAGCGAAGAATGACGAAAATGATTCCGGGACCTCGAAACTTACCATATCAGGATAGGTTAAAGAAACTAAACTTGCATTCCCTAGAAAGACGAAGAGTGCGGGGAGATATGATAGAAGTATTTAAGTGAGTGAAAGGAATCAATAAAGGGGATATATATTTTTTAAGTTTTGGAATCAGTAGTTAAGACAATTCTAAGACACTTTTCTTCTATAGCATTTCTTCCGCTCATGATTACTTTCAGAGAAAATCGCAATAGATAGTTGGAAAATCGAAAACAAAAAATAATTAACATGTTGGAGGATACAGTGAGACGACCTTTCGTCTTTTCGCACACAACCAAAGGTTCTTATCATGACGGTAACGACAGTCCGAACAGCACTTTCCACTCATCACAGAGGAAGACAAAAATGCTCTGGGCCTAAAAAATGTCAATGGCAACGGCATCGTTTACAAATACAGATAAATCGCTTGCCAAGCCGAGGAAAAACATGCAGTGCACAGTTCAGACATCTGGGTACAAGCCAAAAGAATTTACAAAAGTCAAGCCTCAGAGGATTGGGCAGCTCACGCGACACCTTCCGAGAGCACCGCTGATTCGCGGAACATAATCACGTGACTCACAAGACTCACGGTGATTGGCTATGGAAAAGTCCAAAATACTTGAAAAATATAAATTTGCGACAAACACAATTTGAAATTTCTTTCCTTTTTCTCTGTCTCCCTATATGAATATAAAGTTCCGTGTTGGTCCTAAAACGAATATTAAAAAAAAAAAAAAAGTTGTGTGGGGGTGGTATTACTAATTTTAGGTTAGTTTCGAATGACAATTAAGATACCACCTTAGAACAGGTAGACAGGTATCTGCTAAGAGTTTGAGTGACTGTTTAGGACATGCCAGCAGTAGGAACAGTTTTTGCTTTATAGTATATCAGAATTGCGATATATTACATCCACCAAGGATAATTACCCAAGAAAATATTATATTAAAAAAAAACTAAAACAATAAAAATATACGTCATTTAGATATTAACCAGACAGAGCTTCACTTATTAAGATAGGAACAGTAAATCTGAAAAGGATCAATGCGAAAGGGGAAGAAAGAAGGCCATTTGTTGAGGATAAACCATAACAAATCTTCGGCAACAGCATGTTGTGATGTCCCTCCTTGCTACCCACAACATTGAGGAAAGGCAAAGTTGACAATTAAAAAATAAGAGTGAATAATCTAGGGGTTGAAATACGTAGATGCAGCAAGTAAGGAACACACACACAAGAATCATTGTTATCGTGACAGACAAATTTAAGTTAAGAAAGGAATAAGAAGATTATAAAAAAAACCCGAGTAATTTAATAACATTAATAATAAGTATTGATTAGGGCAGTTAATTAGGTACAATACATAACACAAGTATAACAAAATATACAATTATCAAAATAAAAGTAACAACTATGCATGTACCAAAACACACCAGAATATTACCCAATTATTCTTACTTTAAACATTAAATACACAAACCATATACAACACAAAAACCTGATAGAAATGGCAGCTCAGGTAGCAAGTCTAGGTTGCGATGACCAACCACAAGGAACCAGGGATTACCGCCGGAGTCCACTACCACCAGACCATCACAACACCACCAGCAGTGGTCCTTGATACACTTCGTCGTCCACACCCCGGGAGAAGAGGAACACTGTAAGCCGCAGAGAAGAGAACAGCTTACCAGGCAGACACACTTGCCTCGATACCTCGGTCTCATAGTCAGATGGGAAACTGGTCCTGAATCGGTGCTCACTGGGGTCGAGTAGCTTCGTGAAGCAGTTTCTTCTCCTGGTGTAAAGTTGGAGCAAGTGGTGGTTATGGTGGTAGAGTGAGGGGGGGACAGAATCGTCATTGGTAGGAAACAAAGAGTCAGCATAAATGGATTTAAGTCAGACTGGGGTGCGGTCAAAAGCGGAGTTCCCCAGGGATCTGTATTAGGCCCTCTGCTGTTTGTTATATTCATTAATGATCTTGATTTAGGTATAACTAGTAGGATTAGTAAATTTGCAGATGATACCAAAATGGGGAGAGTGATAAATTCAGACAGTGACTTTGAACACCTTCAAAGAGATCTAGATACCTTACATGAGTGGTCAGTAGACTGGCAAATGAATTTTAATACTGATAAATGCAAGGTACTACAGATAGGGAAGACGAATACAAACGTTAAGTATAAACTAGGTAACACGGAAATAGAAAACTCAGATTGTGAAAAAGATCTAGGTGTATTTGTTAGCAACGACTTGAAACCTAGAAAACAATGTATTAGCGTTCGCAACAAGGCAAACAGGATTCTTGGGTTCATATCTAGGAGTGTGAGTAACAGAACTGCTGACGTTATCTTGAAACTTTACCTAGCATTAGTGAGGCCACACATGGATTATGCGGTTCAATTCTGGTGTCCTTATTATAGAATGGACATAGATTCTTTGGAGAGAGTACAAAGAAGAATGACAAAAATGATCCATAATATTAGAAACCTTCCATATGAAGAAAGACTGAAAAGCTTAGGCTTGCATTCATTAGAGAGGCGTAGAGTTAGGGGAGATATGATAGAGGTGTCAAGTGGGTAAGTGGGATTAACAAGGGTAAAATGGAAGATGTTCTGAAGCTCAGTAATAACAGAAATAACTAGAACAAATGGCTTTAAATTAGATAAATCCGATTCAGAAAGGATATAGGCAAGCACTGGTTTGGTAATAGAGTTGTGGATATGTGGAATAGGCTACCGAGTGCTATAGTAGGATCGGGACGCCAGAGCTTCAAGACGAGTTGGATAGGCACATGGAAAGGATGGGGTGTGAAAGGATCTGCCCTGTATGGGCCAGTCGGCCTCCTGCAGTATCCCACTTTCTTATGTTCTTATGTTCTTATACGGTGGACATAAATCAATGTTTATCGAAAAAAAAACACCCAAATCCTATGTTTCTCCTCAGAAAGGATGTGCTTTTTGTATGTAAATGATGCGTGAATGTGTCAAAGTCTCAGTTTGCCATGTCCCAACTTTACGCACTTGAAACATAATATTTAACCAGAATTATAAATGATGCAAAGCTGACCAAGTCACGAGTGCTGTTGCGAAATGAAACAAATTCCTTTTATATACCTTTATTTTCGTTTAGTCCATAGTACCTGTTAAAGCTTCATAAGCTGCACTTGGCACAACAAAATAGTTATTGTACAGATTTGACATAAATGCACAGTCATGGATCCGAGACCCACCAGGCCTCGCATATATTATGTGGCATCAACGCTCACCTAACCTGACCGTCAAGCAGCTGCCACAAGAGGGTTGATGAAATAATATTTTAATATTAATATGAATATATCACATTTATACATATAACCTCCAAGTATTCGCTTTCTTTCCTAAGAATTGATAATGATCCAAGTCGGGAAAATATAATGATTATTTAGACTTGGATCACACACAGTATTTACACATATCGTAGTACTATCGTGATTTGCTTCAGTCGATGAATCGGATAATTAATGAACCGTCGATATACAGTACAGTATTTATAAATAAAAGATATTTCGGCATATCTTGTGAAGATATAAATCTGTCATGAAGCAAAACCCATGGTGATTCCTAGTTTAAAATGTCACATTTTATTTTATGTTAATGTAAGCAAATGATAAAAAAATAATATTTTAAAACACCAGCAAATGTCACCGTCCTAAACAGCCTGACAGAGAGCATCAAAATGTCCCATTCATCGTCTATCACCAGACAAACCACAAACAAGCAGCTTTATATATATATATATATATATTTTAGAAAGCACAAGACAAAATATATAGCAGTGCATATCAAACTGAATTTAACCATTTGTTGGAGGATTTAAACAGCAAAATAGTTTCAACGAATGACCAGAAGTAAAGATAAAATATAAAATATCACAAAAGAGAGAGTACACAGATTAATGAAAAATATAGCTACATAACGTTAACCTTTAAGTTACTTTGGTCACAGTAACTCAACACATGGGTGCCGTCCCGGACCAGACTATTATCTGCCTGGATGTAGTTAAAGTAGGCCCACAGGGACAGTGCACATACAAGAAGCACACTGTATACTGAGCCTTTCCTCGGTTTACACTTCCCTATATGTAAAGTTGGGTACCCATTCCTAGATGATTCGACTAGAAGTTTCCTCTGATCGCGAACCAACGATAATTTGAAAAGGAGGCGAGTACTGTATCCATCTGGCAGCCTAAAAGGCACCTCTTCCAAACTAAGTACCTTGACGATGATTAGGCACAATCTTTCATGCTAATTAGGGGGAGGGGGGGGGGGACAAATGCCTTCTAAATGGACGGAAACAAACATTTTCAGCGAGTTTTAGCTATTATTAAAGGATAAAATAAGGTACAGTCCTCCACCCTTAGTGGACGAGAACACTATCTCCAGTGATTGAACGAGATTACGAACACTTCCATGGTTCTTAAATGGAAACATAGGTACCTTCTTGCTTATAGGGAGAGAACGTATAAATTACCTTTATGCTGATTGGATGAAAATGCATAGATCTTTACACTAGTGGGACGACTGCTCAACTACCTTTCTGGACCAAGTAAGTTTGATCCAGTTGACGCTATGTACAGAGTTTATCATATAAGTTTATATAAACAAATGTAACCTAACTCTTGCTGTATCTACTACAAATAAATATACCGCAGGCCTAAATTAATCTGATTAATAATGAAATAGTGAAACAGGTGATTCTCAGGCAATATCTAATTAATGATTCGAAACAAATTAGTGTAGAAAATATGAAATTAATGTGATTTGACGGAGACAAATTTTTCTGCAAGAATTAAATTAAGCACAACCTGCATAAAATAAGTCGAGTAGACACAAGCACCAGGCTAATTTAGGATAACAAGAAATATATTTAAGTACAAACATAATTGTGTAAGACGAGCAGACAAAATATAGGCACAACTAGTCTAAGTTAAGATGTAAAGAAACAGAGTTAAGCCGTCAGTCTAACTTAGGATAAAAGAGATGAACGTACAGAAGTTGCATGCCCACATACGAGAGAAACAGCTCTAAGCACAGACGGAATAAATTGAGTTGAATCATCCCAACTTAGGAGTAACAGAAAATCTGGCACAACAAGCCTAAATTAGGACGAATAAAAGTCACGTATACCTAACCTGATTAAGGGCAGTGGAAAGGTTTGGCAGCACCAACCAAAGTTTCAAATAAACAGACAAGGTTAGGTATGAGTAGTTAACCTAGAATGAGCAGAGAGGAAGTTAAGGGCAGAAAATTTGGTACACTTAACCTAACTTGGGGAAAGTGATGAAATTGGGACACAAAAAGACTAAGAGGAGAGACCAACTTACACACACGAAGATTTGCCTAACTTCACATGGATACAAATGTGAACACGAGGCCAAACTTGACAAAAACAATCAATGCAGATCCTGTCACTCATCTTCAAATTTAACCTCATACAAGCTACTTTTTGTTTTGTTGGATTAATTTGTTCTCTTCCAACACACCAGGGAAAACCTACTCGGGTCCAGCTCCAACATTTACTTCTACCTATATTAAGTTGGATCGAGTTACTGTCTGTAAAATTGGATTCTCCTTTGATATAAGCCAAAGTGGGTCAGTCCCATTACTAACCTGAGATAGGTTATAAGAAACTTGCTAATAAAGCTCTTGCACACCATCAACATCACCATCACAATCATCATCATCATCATCACCACCACCATCATCATCATCATCATCACCATCATCACCACTACCACCACCACCGTTCCAAGGTCACATTTTCACGCTTGCCTGGGTTAGTCATGATTACTGTACCTGATGGCCCGGTTGCCAACAGACACATTTGACTTATAGACAGCTGGATGTTTATATCGCCAACCCACTTTTAAAGAGTAGAAACTGGGTATTATATGTAGGATTCCAAGCGCCCTCTTAGCTGGCAAGGCAGGGTCGCGACTTTCTGAGATAATGAAAGATTACCCGTCTACCTGTAAAAATAGTCACCGGAGTAGACAGGATCGACCTTCAGTAGGCTATCCCAAGACTAAAGTGAGCGGAAATGATTACTAAGCATTGTGTGGGCCTACCGATACACACGTTAAGCATTCAAATTAATGAAATTGTAACACTTGTATCCGAATAGCAGGATACAACTGCTGGCAGGAAGGCTGTATTAGGAGAAGTGGCTGAGAGTGAGGATTTGACACCTGAAATCTACTATGGCAGATCCATAAAGCTGATTGGGGTAGTGAGTACGTGCTCGTGGGTCGTTATGACGGATTAGCCTCACTCAGTTTTTAATGGCGACGTTTACTTCCATATTTTCTTATAATAGGGCGATGGTTCTAACGGGGAGGTAAACTAATCAACAGATCAGGTCCTAACAACTAATGTGTGGGGTCTCATGGGTGTACGACCCGCAGGCTCTGTGAGCGCATTACACCAGTCGCGTGGAGAGAGCATTACACTCAAATAACATTCACAGTGAGACTAATAACAAGTTAAACAACACGGCCATAACTCTGGATAATATTAAAAGATAATACTCATCAAACTTACAGCAAAACATTTTGCTGTTAGTGTATATATTTACAGAGTAAGTTTATGTAAATCTTCTGTAGTTTCTTTAAGTTATTGCATTATCATTTTATTGTAGTCATTAAATTACAAAGAATTTGTATTACCAACCTTTAGCATTATCAGGTTATTGCGTTACCAAAGTTGGATATGTATACAACAACACACACACGGACCCAACACTAGTGATGCCCTGCTGTGGTGGGGCAGCAGTGGACAGTAAGCTCAAGTCTACTCCAGGGCACCGAAGGCGACTCCTACTGTTCATCGCCTCCTGCCGTACACCGTGTAAACGGAAAGAAAGACTGGAGTCGTTGGTGTAACTGCATTCTGACTTATTTTTGGTAAATCTTACTGAAGTAGTAAAGCAAGAAAACAGTGTGGGTGTACGAGGTCTTAGTTACCGAGTCGCTTGTGCTGATAAAACCCTGTACCAAGCAACAAGTATTATGAACATGTACTGTAAATTCACGCGTGTACAATTACCCACGCGCGTGTACATTCGCATACGTATGTTTACTTCATGTATGTACTATGTGTGTACAATTAACAAAGTGAGTGTGATGAGACACACGTGAATTTATGTTCATTCACTTAAATGTATAGACAATGAGAGTGTACATTTACCCCTTGAGAGTGAATATCTTACCCACATGTGTGTATATTCACACGTGTGTGTGTGTGTGTGTTCAGTACATTCATTCTCGTGGGCGTTTGCTATCAACCAAGACGAGTGTTTTGTTAAGTATTATATACAATAATGCACGACAGCACAACTAATAAATTTCTTTGCAGCTCATGACAATTAAATGTCACATCATTAAGGCCTCTTGATACAACCGCCGTTATAAGGTCACGTCACCATTAAGACCCATGTAAAGTCTTCTAACATCACCAAGACCTCCTTTAGAACCAACTGTCATAACCATAACTACTGAAGACACTAGAGTACATCCGCCTTTAAGAGAGATTCAGCGCACTGCCCAATTTTCCCTTAAATGAACAATAAACACCAACTAAATACCGTGAAATAATGGTGCACCTTTAAAGATGGCATCACTGTCAACACTCACACTAGGGAGGAGGGAGCTGTGTTGAGGACAGCATGTTGCTCTTCTCACCTCGGACACCTCCCGGTCCTCAGGTTCCATGGACACAAAAATACATGTAATATTTCTTCAATATCCTACAGGTTTCTGAGAAATTATTTATGCAAAAAATATATATCTGTTTTTTTTTACATAATATATACACCTGATTCTAAGCTACGAATCCTTTGTTACTGTATTTACAATTTTCTGTAGTAGTTGGACTTGGGCTGCAGCCACACACAAACATCAACGAAGGATCCTCGTCTGAGGAAGTTTTCATGTAATCATGTTGAACCTTACTTCTTCATTCGTCAGTGTATCTACAGCAACTGTTCTGCTATTCGTCCTAAAGTATATCTTGACGAGGGTTAAAGTGTAGCAGGGGAGGGTGGTCCTCGCTGCAGGTTGTGGCCCAGCACTACGACTTGAACATCTTGACGGCGCACACCACCTCACCCTGGTTACACATGCTGGAGGAGGTAATAAACTTAATTAACAACTATTATAACAATAGCTGATGAGACGCACCCACTGATGGGTCACCAGCACATATCACCTGTGGTAAAAAAGTGAACTTTCCACGTATCATGACACCATAGAAATAGGATATATATATTGTTGGATGGTTCAAAATGCATTTAATTGCAACAAAATGTTTATTGTTCTATGGAAATTCAAATTACTTATGTTGAAAAATGGTACTCTTAAGACGGTGCCCTCCAGAACAACGGCACTCGTGACATTGAACCAGTCAGTACATTGTTCATGACAGCTCGGAGGAATGTCTGCTGTGATTTCATCAATGCACTGCCGAATGTTCGCTTTTAGCTCCTCCAAGTTTGTAGTTCTGTGGCAGTAGACTTTACTTTTCAGGTACTGTACCCCCAGAAAAAAAAAATCGGGTGGCGTTAAATCAGGGGATCGTGCTGGCCATGCGATATCCCCGAAACGAGATATGTTTTCTGGAGGGCACCGTCTTCAGAGTACCATTTTTCAACATAAGTAATTTGAATTTCCATAGAACGATACACATTTTGTTGAAATTTGATGCATTTTCAACCATCCAAACAATATATATGTGGGACATATATATTGGGACACTGTATATCTCCCATATTGAATTGAATTGCATTGAAACAGTTTATTTAGCCAGAAAAACACAGATACAGAGTGGATAATAATAACAATATTAACATGGCTGAGCCAGTTGAGAGCCTGAGCTCTCTTTTAGGCACCTGATATATACTGTACATTTATCTCAAGGAAGTATTATGTAAAATTTAGTAACATCTGGAATAGTACAATAGCATGGTGGTAATAAGAACATCTAATAATGTTACCACAGTTATCACTTCAATATTTATTTATTTTATTTATTTATTATTATTATTTTTTTTAGCTTATTTTTTTTATTTATATTATACCTTGTAAGTATATACATAAATTACAGTGGAATTGAAAAAAAAAACATAAGTATAATGGGGAAGCAGTACCACATGGGTTGTACAGTATTAAGGTTGAACAAGAGGACAGAGCTGTCAGGATTATGTCTAGTTGGCAATTATGTTTATTGCAATGGTAATTTCTTATCTATTTACATGATAATTTCCGATAAAACGGTTTTGATGGTACAATAAAAGCAGGTACTGTAAATACAGTAGGTATTACAAGAAATATTAATACTTAGACAATAGATATTTTTTAAGAGATGATTTAAAGGAAGGGAGCGTAGTCTTTGCTCGGAAGGAGCACATGGGGGGTGGTCTTAGTAGCTCTGGGTGCCTTAAGTTGTATCTCTGATTTTTCCGGCACTGGAAATAATTATTGTCAAGCAAGTGATTGACAGATTTGTAAACAAAGAGGGCACAGCAGTTGGTGTTAATATCTTTGAATTTTAACGTTTTCAATTTATCAAATTTTTCGTTTGTGTGATCTGTTTTTTTTAAGTAGGTCATTGTCCGTACAACTCTCTTTTTTGCAGTAACCAGAGATTGTGTTTTTGAAGAGAGAGAGACCACCCATAGAGTGTGACACTGTATCAGGTGTTGGTAAACAAGATCATGACAGATTTCTTTCATTGCTGTGAGAGTGAGTGACTGTCGAGTGTGATACATGATACCGCACTGTTTATTGACTTTACTGTGAATGGCTTGCATGTGGTTTCTCCAGTTAAGTTTCTCATCAACAATAACTCCGAGGAATTTAGTATTTTGTTCGCGTTTGAGGACTGTATTACCAAGGTACAGGGGGTCCAAGTCTGAGGGTAAGTTTTTCCTTCTGTGAAAGATCGTGTAGTGGGTTTTCTCAAGGTTTAAGATCAGTTTATTACTTATTACCCAGGTCCTGCCTGACTTAAGTCAATTCAGTGTTCATAGTTGTCATCAAGGAATGGAGGTCTGAGTTGCTTGCATAGAGATTACTATCGTCTGTAAATAAGTTGTATTTTATGAGTGTGCTGGCGTGGACTATGTCGTTTACGTACAACAAAAACAGTACTGGAACGAGAATGGAGGAACCTTGGGGGACGCCATACAAGATTGGCGAGGAGTCAGATTGGTGATTATTATAGCAGACATACTGCATCCTGTTGGACAGATATGAGGTAAACCAATTGTGGGACAGGCCCCTAATGCTGTAATGTTGAGGAGGATGGTATGGTCGACAGTATCGAAGGCTTTAGAGAGGGCCAAGAATATTCCGACTGTGAACTGACTGTCATCAAAGGAATTTTAGATGTCATTAGTAAAGGATAGCAGAGCACTCTCAGTCGACCTTCTAGCTCTAAATCCAAACTAGGAGCCTGTAAAGATGTTATTGGCATTGCAGAAGGAATTTAGTCTACTACATGCTAGCTTCTCCAGTATTGTTTAAGCGAAATTTATTCGACAATGAATTAGTCATTATTGATATTAAGTTTTAAAAAAATCTGGCTCAGCGGAATTCGTTAGTAACACAAATGTCCTACTTCTTCAACCCCAGTCCACCAAGTATAATCCGAGTCACCCCGGGCCAGTGACAGATCAGGAGAGTGTTACTGACGGTTAATAATGATACCTGTTAACATTGTTATAATCTACAGTATGTTTGTCGTTATAGCCTCCACTTACCCTCAGTTCTCATGCACAATAGATAAAGTTCTAGGCAAGTTTTCACCGGTTATAAGTTTCTCGCACCTAACCTGTAGTGAGGTAAAATTCCCTCGTGTTTCCGGCACTTCAAGGTACTCTTAACACCCACTGAGGCAAAGTTCCTTATACATTCTTACCAGTTTTCGATACTGGGAGCCTTCATAAAGTTCTGGAGCTGGGAGTACTGGGAGCCAGATATCGTACACCCGCCAGGGAGGTGAACTGCCTCTCCTCTGCCTTCGGCGAAAGACAAGTCCTCGTACCGCACTGGGAGCTTTGGTGGCGCCGACTCTTCTGCAGGAGTAAGAGACATTATAGAAATATAGAAATACGATGTTGTGGTAATATATAAAAAAAAATGGAGAAAAATACATATGTACTGTATAGTATGTAGATAAATTTACTTAAGCTGCAACCCCAAATCTTGCTTAAGACTGAAGTCTTTCTGCATATGTTGGGCTCAATGAACGAAAACTAACCACAACGCGTTGTGGTTGTTTGGAAAATATCCAGGAGGGAGAAATTTTGCTACAGGTTAGGTAAGGTTAGTTTAGGTTACCTTTGTTAGGTTAGGTTAGATTGTATCTATTGGGAAAACCCAAGACGCAAAATTTCGCTTTCTGGTTCTTTTGAAAACACCCACAACGAATTGTGGTCGTTTTCAGTCTTTGAGCCCAATATATATATATATATATATATATATATATATATATATATATATATATATATATATATATATATATATATATATATATATATATATATATATATATATATATATATATATATATATATATATATATATATATATATATATATATATATATATATATATATATATATATATATATATATATATATATAAACTTAGGATACCTGGTACTTCCTCAGTTTATTAAAGATGCCCAGTACTTACCCAGTATATGAAGGCTGCCCAGTGCCTCTCCATTATATGAAGATACCAGTTTATGACAGATGCCCGGTACTTACCCTGGTTACCCAGTATATGAAGAATAGCGCCTATTTCCCCAGGATACTCGGTACTTACCCAGAATAGGCAAGATGGAGCCCGTGTCCTCCAGCCAGTCTATCACTGAAATGAGAAATATTGTACAGTTTAATGGAGGGCTGTGATGGACGGCATGGAAGGGAGGGATGGAAAAGGGAGGGAGGGAAAAGGGAGGGATGGAAAAGGGAGGGAGGGAAAAGGGAGGTAGGGAGAAAAGGAAGGTGTGATGGTGGAAGGGAGTGCGACAAAGTTTGAGAGAATGAAAGAAGAAAGGGCGCAAACTTGACAGAGAAAAAATTAAATGACAATTATTCTACTGTGAGTGAGTTAAACGCAAGAAATAACGAAATAAATATGAAATTATTATACACAAATATCAAATTAAGAAAATGTGTTTTCTTTAAAGTTTGTATAAATTTAATGAAGAATTATCAGACGTTTAAAGTTTGTTTTGTAAATGTCTTATTATATGTTTAAGTGTGTGTGTGTGTGTGTGTGTACAAAATAAACCTCCACACCATGACTTCAGGCAAGAAGAAAATTTTAACCTGGTGTGGGTAACGTCTCACTCAGCCTTTCCTCACAACTTCCAGTTCAAGTCTCTGAACAATAATAAAAAATAACAATGGTTCTTTTCGGAATTTTTTTTTCCTTTTACTTTTTACTTTTATCCTCTTCGCCACTGATCGGTTCGTTAGCCCCTTGGACGGTTGGTCAAGTCTCTGTTATGCACTGTAGGCAAGTACTGGCTGGGCATGCACTGGCTCCTGAATATATCGGAACCTGCACCAGTGTTGGTTAAGTCTGGCCTCGAATGAGCACACACTCGGCGTCGTCACAACCCTATCTGGCAGATTGTTCCAAGATTTCACAACTCTCACTCCGAAAAGTTTGCCTTCACAGTTTTCTGGACCTGTGGCTTCTTCAACCTTGAGCTGTGATCCCTTGTGGAGGCGGACGTCCGCCAGCTCCAGGTATGGACTCTCGACTGAGTAGTGTCACCCTGAGATGTTTATACACCTCGATTAGGTCGCCCCTTGCCCGTCTGTACAGTATAAGCTAGGCAGTTACAGGCGCTCTAATCTCTCTGGTTAACTGAGGATTCGTAGAGCAGGCACTATGTACATTTTCAATCAATTGACAGTCTCTAGCATATCTCGGGGACCAGACGGGGTGACAATACTCTAGATGGGGAAGCACTTCACTCTTGAAGATCGTTACGAAGGACGGACCGTCTAGATATCTGAACGACCCAATAATTTATTTGCCTGATTTACCTTCAGCTTTTTTTTTTTAAATATTATTTACTCTTACTCTCTATTCCAGTTCTCATCAACGAATTTTGTCTCAGTTACTCCCAGGCAACTGTGCCTGTTTGCTTATCCCATTTTTTTTTCACTTCAATTTATTTACAACCTGCACCACAGTCATTGTTGTCATTATGGACTGTCTTAGCTAAAAGCACAATACTTTACTCTCTGGTCGGCCTTTGGATGGTCATTCACAGCCATGAGCACAACTCATTTAAAATTTTCTGAATAAAAAAAAAAGAAAAAAAAGAAAAGAATTAATATTGTTGTATGGCAATGATTTTGTGGTTGTATACCTCCCGGCCTATTCCTCCGGTCAGTAAAAAGTATTTTTCAATATAGAATGGCGAATAACGTTAAAAATCCTACACCGATTTACTCATTCACATCACTAAGACGATCTTGATGTTCTTATGTAATCACTGTCCACTTACCGCTGCTCAACAACACAGACCAGAGTGCCAACACAGACCAGAGTGCCAACACAGACCAGAGTGCCAACACGCTTTGTTGAAGAGACACAACACGACCCGACCCGCACGACCCGCCTAATATATATTTTAATTTTTGCGGACCGAAAAGACCCAACATAATTAAAACGGATTCCCGACGAACCAAAAATGAACCCGACGTGTTACTAACAGGGGGGTGGGGGGATAAGGATGGTGAATGCAACTGTTAAAAGAAAATAAGAGAGTTAGAGAACGAAAATTCTCTCTTCCTCAAACATTTTCTATGTTACCACATGTTTCAGCGGTGACGAGTAACCAGGCCAAGCAATTCATCTTTTTCTGAGTGAGTAAACTCCTTCGTGTGTGAAAAATCTTGAATTGAAAAGTATATCAGGGTTAATATCTTGTAGTTGCCAACAACTACTTATATATTGAGTCATATATGGAGAGGAGAAAAAAAAATATAATTTATTGTTTCCGTCACAAATTTATAGTTTTCAAGTTATTTTCACTTTAATAATTTAATTTCTTGGCCAATCAGTGAGTGTCGATGTGACGTGATAGTCGTGCGCATGCACTTAACTCTTCATTGGCCAATTAGCGAGAGTCTCGATGAGCATTTGCGTGTGAAGGTGGTTGTACTTTGGCTGACTGACGCATTACTCAGCGCGTTTTGGAGAAGGAAGCCGCGGCCATCTTTAGCTCTTACACCATATTAACTAGTTCAAATTTCGTTATTATCATCATAACAGCAAAGTGATTCATACTGGATAAAGATTGATCGTTGTTTATTTTCCAGTTTCAAATTGCCGTCATCGAGGGCAAAAGAGTATTTCTACAAGCTGTGACAAACCGCATGCAAATAGGCAAAAATACTTTCGCTAATTCAAAGAGAACAGTGATTCTCTTAGTATATAAGCCCACTGTTGATAATGAAAATATGATTTCAATCTTTTAAGTGTACATAAATGTCTGAAGTTCTCCAGAATGCAAAATGCGCATTTTTTTTCTTCTTCGAGTGGAACATGTTCCCTTCCCCAAGTGGACACTACTTAACGTTGTGTTTTTTTTTTTACCGGATTAGCCCACCAGGGCACAGGTCAATGACCTACATCAGGGCCTGGGGCGAAAATATTATTATAATAATAATAATAATAATAATAATAATAATAATAATAATAATAATAATAATAATAATAATAATAATAATAATAATAATAATAATAATAATAATAATAATAATAAATAATAATAATAATAATAATAATAATAATAATAATAATATAATAATAATAATAATAAAAAAAAAAAAAAAAAAATAATAATAATAATAATAATAAATATAAATATAAATCTCCCAATTTGGCACCACTTAGTGACGAAAGGTATGAATGACTGTTTCTGATCTCTCGTATAATCACTGCCAACATGGAGTCTGTGCCAACATGGGGTCTGTGCCAACATGGGGTCTGTGTCAAAAAGAAATCTGTGCCAATATGGTATTTTAGCCAACATGGAGACTAAGCCAACATAGAGAATGTGCCAACACGAAGACTGTGTCAACATGTGTTCTGTGCCAACATGTGGTGGTCTATACCGAAAAGGGATCTGTGCCAACATGGCATCTTCGCCAACTTGGAGACTATGGCAACATAGAAACTCTGCCAACATGGAGACTGTACCAACATGGAGACTATACCAACATGGAGACTGCGCCAATATGGATACTGTGCCAATATGGATACTGTGCCAACATGGAGACTTTGCTGGCATGGAATATGTGCCAACATGGGGCCTGTGTCAACATGGAGATTGCCAGCATGAAGACTGTTCCAACATGGGATTTATGCCAACATGGGATCTTTGCCAACAGGAGATCTTGGCCAACAAAGGACCTGTGCCAACATAGAGACTATAACAATATGGAGAACATAGGATCTATTTCAGAGCAGATACAGTAACTTAAAGGTTCCGTAAAGCGGATGGAAGTTCTGTTTTTTGGTAGACAATTATAAAGATTAAGGTTTTGCGATGGTCACGGTGAAGGTTCATCATGGTAAAAGTTAAGTTGAAGGTCTATCATGGTAGGTTAAGTTGAAGGTTCATCATGGTAGGTTAAGGTGAAGGTTCATCATGGTAGGTTAAGTTGAAGGTTCATCATGGTAGGTTAAGGTGAAGGTTCATCATGGTAGGTTAAGGTGAAGGTTTATCATGGTAGGTTAAGGTGAAGGTTCATCATGGTAGGTTAAGGTGAAGGTTTATCATGGTAGGTTAAGGTGAAGGTTTATCATGGTAGGTTAAGGTGAAGGTTCATCATGGTAGGTTAAGTTAAAGGTTCATCATGGTAGGTTAAGGTGAAGGTTCATCATGGTAGGTTAAGTTGAAGGTTCATCATGGTAGGTTAAGGTGAAGGTTTATCATGGTAGGTTAAGGTGAAGGTTCATCATGGTAGGTTAAGGTGGAGGTTCATCATGGTAGAGTTAAAATTTGAAGGTTCATCATGGTAGGTGAAAGGTTCATCATGGTAGGTTAAGGTGAAAGTTCATCATGAGTTAAGGTGGAGTTCATCATGGTAGGTAGAAAGGGTTCATCATGGTAGGTGAGGTTCATCATGGTAGGTGAGGTTTCATCATGGTAGGATTAGGTGAGTTCATCATGGTAGGTTAAGGTGGAGGTTCATCATGGTAGGTGAAGGTTCATCATGGTGGTGAAGGTTCATCATGGTAGGATTAGGTGAAGGTTCATCATGGTAGGTTAAGGTGGAGGAGTTCATCATGGTAGGTGAAGGTTCATCATGGGAGGTGAACGTTCATCATGGTAGGTTAAGGTGAAAGGTTCATCTTAGTGGGTGAAGGTTCATCATGGTAGGTGAAGGTTCATCATGGTAGGTGAGGTTCATCATGGTAGGATTGAAGGTTCATCATAGTGGGTTAAGTTGAAGGTTCATCATGGTAGGTTAAGGTGAGAAGGTTTATCATGGTAGGTTCAGGTGAAGGTTCATCATGGTAGGTGAAGGTTCATCATAGTAGATGAGGTTCATCATGGTAGGTGGAGGTCATCATGGTAGGTTAAGGTGAAGGTTCATCACGGTAGAGTTAGGTGAAGTTCATCATGGTAGGTTAAGGTGAAGGTTCATCATAGTGGGTTAAGGTGAAAGTTCATCGCATGGTAGATGAGTTCATCATGGTAGGTTAAGGGTGAAGGTTCATCATGGTAGGTTAAGGTGAAGGTTCATCATGGTAGGTTAGGTGAAGGTTCATCACGGTAGGTTAAAGGTGAAAGGTTCTCATGGTAGGTGAAGGTTCATCACGGTAGGTTAAGG